CCTGCTGGGAGTGGTGCTGTCCCGGGGGGTGCGGAGCTTGGGGGTGCGCAGCGCGGGGGTGCTGAGTCTGGGGGCGAGGAGCATGAGGAGCGTGAGGGTGCGGAGCCTGGAGGTGCTGAGCCTGCGCGTGGGGAGCCTGGAGGTCCTGAGCCAGGGGGTGCTGCTTCTGGGGGAGCTGCGCCTGGGGTTGCTGCGTCTGGTGGTGCTGAACCTGCGTGTGCAGAGCTTGGGGGTGCTTAGTCTGGGGGTGAGTCGCCTGAGGGTTTTGAGACTATTGTTACACAGTCTCCTTGGAGTAGCCGTCTTCGTCCGCGTGTGCCTCTCACCCCCCAGCAACTGCATGACTGGTACAGTCGCCGTCAGCGTCGCGCTTCTGCACCTCAGGGCTCTACTACTCGGGGTTCTTCTACTGGCGTCACTGGAGCTAGGAGTGGTGTTGGTCCTTTGCCTACTGGAGGTGCTGGTGTCGCTGATCCTGGAGGTGCTTGTACTGGGGGTACTGGAGCTGCTGGGGCTGGCGGTGTTGTGTCTGAGGGTGCTGCTGCTGGTTGTCAAGAGAAGAAGGCAAAAGTTAGAAGGAGAAAGAGGTATTGGACTAGCAGGCAGTTGAGTACATATAGCAAACCCTAATCTAGGCTGTACTCACTATAAAGTACCCCACTGCAGGCTAGAAAAATATAACATTCTGACTCACCCCTATAGCCAAAGTGGGGTGTAATCAGCACAACAAGCAGGCATAACAATAGTTCACAATCATAAGCAAAACTAGAGGCCGTCACAGAGGCCAAGTGAGGAGGAGGAGAGCCTGTGAGAGGAGTGGAGATAGGAGTCAACGGGTGAAGCCGCAGACACACGGGCAACAGTAGTGGCGCGCAAGTGGCTACCGGAGCAAGGGCCCTGGACTACACGAGTAACTGGCTCCGCGGCTAAGACGAGCGGCAGGAGCAACAGACCCACGGGCGAATGGCACAGCGACTGGCTCGCTGGGCTACCGGAGCAAGGGCCCCGGACTACTGGTGCTGCTGACGACAGGACGGCTGCCTCTGCTCAACCTCCCCCAACTGTCTCACGCTCCTTTTCACACACCCCCTTCTGATCCTCTAGTACTGCACCCACGACACCCCCCTAGCGCCACACCCGAGGCTCCCACACATCCACCCCCCTCAGCGGCAGCTACAGCAGTGGGAGACGAAGTAGGAGGAGGAGCAAGGGACGGCTCACACACCTGGCACCCCCATACTCGCCACCCCCAAACCCAAAAACAGGTAGCACGGGCAGGAGAGCATGTAGAAGAGGGGGCGGAACTCGTGGTGAAGGGGGAGGGCTGGGGCGGGCTGTACGGGCCGCTCATGGGCCAGGCGCGGGCCGTACGGACCGCGCGCGGGCTGTACAGGCCGCGCGCGGGCCAGACGCAGCTCGTACGAGCCGCGCGCGGGCCTGGCGCAGGCCGTACGGGCCGCGCGCGGGCCTGGCGCAGCCCGTACGGGCTGTGCGCGGGCCTGGCGGATCCCGGACGGGCCGCACGCGGGCCTGACAGGGGACGACGCGCAGGTCCCCGGGGCAGAAAACCGCCGCGCGCCGTGGGGCGCACGGCTGGCAGAAAACTGCCGCGCGCCCCGAGCGTGCGGCGGGCAGAAAACCGCCACGCGCTACGAGCGCGTGGCGGGAAGAAAAAGCGTCGCGTGCCGCGGGGCGCGCGACAGAAGGGACAGCAGCGGAAGCCGGTGGTGGGCCCACCCACAGGATTGACCAGGTAGGGTCGACCTACTTTGATACCATGACAAGAGAAGAAGGCAAAAGTTAGAACGAGAAAGAGGTATTGGACTAGCAGGCAATTGAGTACATATAGCAAACCCTAATCTGGGATATACTCACTATAAAGTACCCCATTGCATGCTAGACAAATATAACATTCTGACATTGGTGGCACTGCAGCTGGAGACCCTGGGACTGGAGGTGCCGGTTCTGGGGATGCTGCAGCGGGTGGAGCTGGTGCTGAGGGTACTAGAGCTGCTGGAGGTGCTGGAGTTGTTGAGGGTACTGGAGTTGTTGGAGGTGCTGGAGCTGCTGAGGGTACTGGAGCTGCTGGAGCTGCTGAGGGTACTGGAGCTGCTGGAGGTGTTGGGGCTGCTGAGGGTACTGGAGCTGCTGGAGGTGCTGGGGCTGCTCAGGGTACTGGAGCTGCTGAAGGTTCTGGGGCTGCTGGTACTGGTGGCACTGCACAGCCACGCCTGTTCTTCGCTACGCCGTCTCCGTCGTCTCTGCCACCGCCTGACTCTGCACTTCGCCAAGTTCTCAGTCTCCCCTCGGTTAGTGGTCTTCCGTTACAGCCTGGCTCACCGCTGCCTGCTCCTTCTCCGTACAAAGAGCAAACTGGGGGCCTTGCTCAGCGTCGTGAGCCTACGTCGCGTCCTGTCTCACCTGTCCGCTCTGGTCGTTCCACTCGTCGTGTTCCTCGTCAGCGTCAGCCGGCTGTCCCCGGCCTTCCCCTTGTAGTCCATCGTCCTTCCTCTCCACCGTCGCATGTTCACCTGCCGTCCCCCCCTGTGTCCTCTCTGCCTGTCGTTGCTGACCCTGCGTCTGACCAATTTCGTGCTAAGAACCCTGCTGTCACGCGTCACCTAGCACCTGTTATCACCGACCCGTCTTTCGAGTCGGCTGCTGCGTCTGCCTTAGTCGCTGAGCTTGTTGACTTTGCTGCTGCCTGTCGTCTAGACTACGTCGCTAGTCTTGTTGCTGAGTCTGAATCTGTCTGTCCTCCGTCCGTTGGGGGTGAGGGTGCTCTTGTCACGGACGCCCTACAGGACAGGCACGAGGACCTTGAGTGTCTTGCAGCCGCTGCGCCTCATCTCGTATCCATGCTGCTTGCCCCCGAGGGAGACCCGGATGCTCCAGACATCCCGACCCCGCGCTCTTACGCTGAGGCGATCGCAAGCGAGTACTCCTCTTAGTGGCAGACAGCCATGGATACAGAGATGGCATCCTGGAAGTCCACAGGCACCTACGTCGACGAGGTTCCCCCTCCTGGGGCGAACATTGTCAGTGGCATGTGGATTTTCAGGGTGAAGCGGCCGCCAGGTTCTCCGCCTGTCTTCAAGGCTCGTTACGTTGCTCGAGGTTTCAGTCAGCGAGAGGGAGTTGACTTCTTCCAGACCTTCTCCCCCACCCCAAAGATGACCACTCTTCGGGTGCTGCTGCACGTTGCCGCTCAGCGTGACTACGAGCTTCACTCTCTTGACTTCAGCACAGCTTTCTTACAGGGCATCCTGCACGAGGAGATCTGGCTGCGCCGCCCTCTTGGCTTCACTGGCTCGTTCCCTCCTGGTACCCAGTGGAGCCTCCGGCGGCCGGTCTACGGTCTCCGCCAGGCGCCACGTGAGTGGCACGACACACTGAGGACGACACTTGCGGCTCTTGGGTTCGCGCCTTCTACTGCATACCCGTCGCTGTTTCTGCACACCGACACTTCGTTGCCGCCGTTCTACATCCTCGTGTACGTCGACGACTTGGTCTTTGCCACTGCTGACACTGAGGCTCTCGCCCTGGTGAAGTCAGAGCTGCAGAAGAGACACACGTGCACAGACCTGGGTGAGCTGCGCAGCTACCTTGGCTTGCAGATCACCCGGGACAGAGCACACCGCACCATCACACTGACTCAATCACACATGATGCAGCAGGTCCTTCAGCGCTTTGGCTTCACCTGGTCCTCAGCACAGGCCACTCCTCTGCCTACCGGTCACTCGCTCCCAGCTCCATCTTCGGACGAGTTCGTAAAGCCGAGTGGCCCGTATCCAGAGCTTGTGGGCTGCCTCATGTACCTGATGACCTGCACTCGTCCTGACCTTGCGTACCCTCTTGGCCTCCTGGCTTGCTACGTGGCTCCTGGTCGGCACCGAAAGGTGCACATGGATGCTGCTAAGAGGGTACTACGCTACTTGTGCAGTACATCGGGCATGGGGCTCGTGCTCGGAGGACGGGGTGACGTTGTCCTCACTGGTCACTCGGACGCCTCTTGGGTTGACGACTAGGCTACGCAGTGGTCATCACACAGTTACACCTTCAACCTTGGTTCTGGTTCAGTTTCCTAGCATTCTACATGTTCGTCTTCAGTTCTCGGCTCCAGTTGTGAGGCCAAGATCTACGCCACAGCCATGGCTGCACAGGAGCTACGCTGGCTCACCTACCTGCTGACCGACTTGGGAGAGCGGCCTCATTCTCCTCCTGTTCTGTACGTCGACAACAAGGCCGCCATTGCCTTGTGTCAGGAGCACAGACCGGAGCACAAAACGAAGCACATCGTTCTGCGTTACTTTCTTGCTCGAGAGCTGCAGCAGCGTGGCCAGCTTTGTCTTGCTTACGTGGCCACTCGGGCCAACACTGCTGATATATTCACCAAGGCGCGTCCGCCTGGTGATCATCAGCGTTTCTGCACTTTGTTAGGCCTTGTGCCTACGCTTCCTCACTTCCTGTAGGCTTCGTTTGTACTGTGATCTATATGTATACCTGCATGCTTGCTCTTGTAGGTAGAGATCACTGTGCTGTTGTTGTTACATATATATCTCTGCATGTGAACTGGCCTTGTGGCCTTTTGCTTGTGCTCAGATTGCGTGGTGACGTTGTGATCCACCCTGAGCTTGTTTTGCACTTCCTTCCTGGCCTTGTGACCCTCTGTTCTCCCCCACTTTGCCTATGGGGGTGTGTCAAACTGTCAGAATAGTAGCTAGAATGAAGGAGCCATAGCTAGGGTATAGCAAGCTAGGCAAGAGATAATAGGCAAAAGAGGAGAAGAGAGGTTTGACTAGCAACAGTTTGGGATACAAATAGTAAACCCTAAAGGGCCGTACTCACTATAAAGTACCCCACTGCAGGCTAGACAAGCATTATATTCTGACACAACCATATGTTTAGGTAGGCTTTAGTGGAGTACTCAGTGTGGGGTACAACCCCTTAGGTTTTACTTTTGTACCAAAACTTCTCGATAGTCAAACATCCCCTTTGCCTTAGTCTCGACAGCATGAAGGTCTCAGCTTGCCTGCTGGATCGCCAACCTTCGGTGCAGCACAAAGTAAAGGCGAGAAGGTCGTACCTGTGGGGACTAGCAGCTGAGCAAGGGCTCTTGACACGGCATGCGCGCTCACTGCCCTCCCACCAGCCGTCCCTCTCTCCTCACTGCGCTCACTCCCCTCAAGCCCAGACCATTCTGCCTCCCATTCCGCCACCCCTTCCACCACCCCTTTTGCCGACCCTAGTGCTTCCCCTTCCATTGAAAAGAGGCCCAGGAGGGCAGCGAGGCGCGAGAGGCAGAGCAGCTCCGAGGGGCTGCCGAGCGGCACGATGGAGGCGAAGGGGATGATGAGAGCGACGTGCTGCTTCCAGCAGTGATGGTCGCGCAGGTAGGCCTGCATGTGCGCCTTGATGCACCTGCATGCACACGTGCAGAGGGGAAGGAAAGTTAAGGTCGAGGGGAGAGGAGAAATACCTTGATGCGGCTGCGTGCAGGCGCGCAGAGGATGCAGGGTTGGAAAAGGGGAGTGGGCAATGTTGACAAAGAGAGAAACGATAAGAACGCTCAATGTGCCGACAGTGGTCACGCAGGTAGGATTGCAAATAGGCCTTGATGCACTTGCATGCGGGCGTGGAGAGGGAAAGGAAGGTTTAGATAAAGGGAAGGGGGGACGGTGAACGAGAGGGAAGAGGAGAAATGCGCTCTCCTTCCAGTGATGGTGGTGGGACGGGTGGCCCTGATGGGACTGCAGGAGTTCATGGGAGAGACAGTAGGTCGAGGATAAGAAAAGGGGGAGGGTGGGAGAGGGTTGCACTGCTCACGGCATGCTGTGATCCATGCCCGACTCACGGCATGCTGTGTGGTAACCAGCCGACGCGGAGGTATGAGTCAGCGACGCCACACACGTCCCTCTCAGTGAGCAGCACCACCCGAATCCACTCGCCCACCTCCCACCCCTCCGCCCACTCGTGTGTCTTCACCACCACGTTCACTCCTCCCCACTCCCCTCCATCCGTCCCCACCCCTTCACCATCCCCCGTCCCCCCCGTTTCCTCTGTGGATCCCCCTGTTCCCTCCGCCAACCCCCCTCCCACCCCTGGTCCGCGGCTGGTGAGTGGCGAGAGCCCCCTGGCACGCAGCTTTCTGGCGGAGACGGAGTGCAGCCAATAGGAGAGCGCCAGATGGCCCGAGTGGGCGGACGACGTTGAAGAGCCATGTGGAGCCTGCAGGGAGGAGGGGAGGGCAAGGGCGAGATGGGAGGAGGGGTTGGGTGGAGGGAGGGAGATGGGAGGGGGAGTTGGGTGGAAGAGGGTGGGGGCGGGGGGGAAGAGGGGGAGAACCCAAAAGGCCGTGATGTCGCATGTGCAGCAAGGGAGGGCCTGGGAGCTGTGTGTGTTGAACATTGGAGCCCGCAGAGGGGGATCGGGGTGGTGACGGGTGGGGGTGTGAAGTGTGTGGATAGAGGGTGAAGAGGATGGGGGAAAGGGGACGTGAAGGGGGTTTGGTGAGGTGAGGGGAAGGGGAGGAGGGTTGCGTGGGAGAGGAGCGCGCGAACATGCAGTGAGGAGACTCCCCAACGTAACTGGGCGGTCACGAGCTTTAGACCTGTTAGAAATTAGAGGCGAAAAAGGGGGCTATCCAGAGGCGCGGCGGTTGCTTTTGAACCATTGGCGTGAGCGCAAAAGCGGAGAATGATGGGTGGAGTGGATGTCGGGAAGCTGCGGATATTGCGGAGGATGTGAGCGCGGAGCATGTGGGCGCGGAGGATGTGAGCGCGGAGCATGAGGGCGCGGAGGATGTGAGCGCGGGGCATGAGGGCGCGGAGGATGTGAGCGCGGAGCATGTGGGTGCGGAGGATGTGAGCGCGGAGCATGTGAGCGCGGAGGATGTGAGCGCGGAGCATGTGGGCGCGGAGAGCGCGGAGCATGTGGGCGCGGAGGATGTGAGCGCGGAGCATGTTTGCGCGGAGGATGTGAGCGCGGAGCATGTTTGCGCAGAGCATGTGAGCGCGGAGTTGGATGGGAGGAGGTTAAAGGACGCGTGAGGTCGATGGATGGAGGGATTGAAGCCCTGGCGAGAGCAATGTGCTTAAGGAGACGACTCAAGCACAGTGCGTGGAGCAACGCTATGAGTGGTGCCATAGGTGGGTGGTGGCAGGCGCACCCGACCTCTCTGGCCCCGCGCACACGATCAGTCGAGGCCTTCCCCTCCACGCACTGCCGCCACTGCTCTGCTCTCCATGCGCCACGTGTCGGCCCGCTAGCGCGTCTCGCCACGTGTGGTCCACATGGAGCAGCTCGCACTTGCCGTCGCCGCAACCATTGCCGGCCGGACAGAGCGTTCGATGCGCCCAGGACGGCAAGAGTTTAATGACGCTTTCGAATTCTAATGAGGACTCTATATTCGCGGACAAAAGGGGCCCGCGGGGCTCGGCCGCCATGGCGACTACGGCGGGGCGCGACGAGTCGCGGGTGCCGCCACGAGCAGCTTGGCCGCGACAGCGGGTGTCAGGAGCGGCCTAAATGCTCGGAGCAAAGATTTCGCGGCAACGCAGCGAGAGGACGAGAAGTGGACGCTAAACGACGCCGCTGAGGCAGGCATGGCTGACAGTCGCGAATTGCCGAATTCTACATGATGCTAAGCAATTTAGGGCAGTTTGTTAGCTTCACTGCATTCGACCGTTACTTACCCGCCTTAACTTTGATAGAGCTGCAAACAACCCAAGGGTGACACGCCCACATTTGTATCTTGCTACCCCGTTAGTACAATCCTCGCTCGTTCTCTACAGTGCACTCGTCACACTTCAAAAGCAAATCTCTGGTTCTCTGCGCTAAATTTGTCTGTGCAACGGAAAGTTCCGCGATGAGCCAAAATCTGTGTGACGAGTGCGATTAGTCAACAACGCGATCCCACCAATGCGCTCCCCGTAAGACCCGCCTTACTGCCGCGCAGCGGGCCTGTCTTGCAGTGGCCCACGGGAACGGCGTAAACAGAGAGAAGCAGCGCGGAGAGAGGCAGCGCGCGGAGAGAGGCAGCGCGGAGAGGCGCAGCGCGCGGAGAGAGGCAGCGCGGAAAGAGGCTGCGGGAGAGAGCAGGCAGGCGCGAGCGGCGAGCGGCGGGTGAGCTGCGCGAATGGCGGCTGCGACGCTGGGGAGTGTCCCGCCAGGCGCGAGCGGCATGCAACCGACAGCGCAGGCGCCGATGCCGCGGCTGCACATGGCGCAGCTGCAGACGCAGCCGCATCCGCAGCAGCAGCAGGCGGCGGCGGGGCAGCAGAGGCGCGGGGCGGCGAAGCAGCTTGTGGTGGTGGTGGAGGGCACGGCGAGCATGGGACCGTCGTGGGCGCTGCTGCGACGCCTCTACCTGCACCCGCTACTCAAGTGCGTAGAGCGTGCGCCCTCCACCCCACGCGCTGCTCAGTGGGTGGGTGTCGCTTCACTTGCACACTGCTCAAGTGCGTGCAATTCAGCGTCACCCTGCGTTAGCGCGTCCCTGCTTCCCAACCTAACCCACTCGCGGCTCTTCTCCTACTCTCCCTCGCCCTTCCCCCTCCAATTCCTGCTCGCCTCATCCCTGTCCTGTCCCCTCGCCGTTCCCCTCCTTGCCTCGCCCTCCGCCCCCCTTCATTTCCCCCCATTTCCCTCCGCCCCATTCCCTCCGCCCCCCTTCCATCCATCCCCTTACCCTCCGCCCCCGGCCCTCCGCGCATGCGATGGTCGCCAGGGCCTTCTGCGGCGTCGACTCGCTCACTCAGGTCAGGGCGGGTCAGGGCGGGTCGGAGCAGATCAACACCACCTCATGTCTCCACTTCTTCCGCTCCCCCCTCCTCGTGCCCCCTCCAACCTCCTCTTTTCCTCACTCCCCTTGCTGCCCATTCGACCTCTTCCAGCTTCCGTTTCTCACATCCGTCAACTGCCTCTCACTCTCACTCTCATGCCATTCTGCTCACTTCCATCACACTGAATTCGACCGCGTCTCACTCCCGTTGTCTCGCATTGACTGGTGTGGATTGGCGTTGACTCACGTTGACTGGCGTGGACTGGCGTTGACTCACATTGGCTGGCGTTGACTGCTGTTGACTGTGTGGCAGAGGGCGGGCACAGCAGCGGTGGAGCTGGCTCTCGTAGTCTACCACTCGCACGGCTCCTTCTCAGGTGCGCCCTTCTCAGGTGCGCCCTTCCCAGGTGCGCCCTTCCCAGGTGCGCCCTTCCCAGGTGCGCCACTATGCCCCTGCTTGATGCGTCCTAACCTCTTTTCCTCTCCTCCTCTCCCCTTTGCAACCTCTCGGCTCTTCCACACACCCTCCACTCGCCCTTCTTCAAGCAACCTCCTCCGCACCACACTCCGTCACACGCCTGCCACACCACACTCTCCCTACCCCGGCCTATAAGTTATAACATGCAAGACGTTCCCAGTCGTGACTGATGCTGAGGCGTTGTACCCTCCGCACCTCCTGCTCCCATCCATCCTCACTCACCACCCTCTCGAGACGGAACTCTCAACGCCACGCAAAGCCATCTCTGCTCTCCTCCCTCTCCCCCCCTTCGCCGCCCTCCAACTTCAACCCCCCACAACCTGCCCCCCATCCCATCAGCCTCGCTGCGCGTTGTCCGCCGCGCCTGCCTCGACGCCCTCTCCTTCTCGGGAGGCGGCGCAAAACCTCGTGTGCTCCCCTCTCTTCCCTCCACTCGCCACCCTCCACCGTCCCCCACCCATCCTGCTACCCGCCAGCCTCGCTGCTGCAACAGACGCCCTTCACAGCATCACCGGCCGTCTTCCTCTCGTGGCTCGACGCCCTCTCCTTCTCGGGGGGTGGTGCTTCTGACGCTGCCGTGGCTGAGGGCCTCTCAGAGGCGCTGCTGGTGAGTTGAGGCGCACGAGTGGTGGCGAGTCGAGCAGTGGGTGCAGCATGGTGTATGAGTGTGCAATCTAATCAACGTTGCTCTCCGCGTGCTGCCACAGCGACCACATGCTGCATATGCCAGCTCATTGCCACCCCTGTCAGATTACCATCCTCATTGTAACCTACATCAATCCTATAAGCTTAGGCTAGAGATAGCCACCCAAACTTAGTTTGGGTGTAGAACTAGGGCTAACCGTAGTTGGGGGTTGGAACTCCAACCTTGGCCCCAAGGTTGGGTTGGGAATTATTGGTCCCCCCAATAATGTTGAACCAACTTGGTCAACATTATTGGTCCCCCCAATCATCCCTCAACCCAACTTATTGGTGAGGGCCAATAATGTTGGCTTGGTTCCCAACCAACCCCTCCCCCCAGCACTACTATGTATACCTCCCTCTCTCCTAATGAATTTAATGGTTCTTCCTCTCGTTTTCTCTACATGGTAATCAGAGCTACAACGGTTAACACCGTCTCTCGATCCTAAGAACCACACTTAACGCGTGCCGTATCACGCCCCCCTCTCTCACTCGCGCTTAAGTTGCGCTAGTACGCCTTCACGGCCCCCCTCCCCCCTTGCACTCACGCACGTTCCCGTGCCTCCCCCGCACGAGTTACGATCGGCAGCCCGCTCCCTCCCCCCTCCCCTCTCCTCCCTCACTGCGGTGCATTCCGCCGACGAGGGCGGACGCGGCCACCGCGGCGCATTCCGCCGACGGGGGCGGACGCGACCACCGCGGCGGATTCCGCCTACGAGGGCGGACGCGACCACCGCGGCGGATTCCGCCTACGAGGGCGGATGCAACCACCGCGGCGGATTCCGCCTACCAGGGCGGACGCGACCACCGCGGCGCATCCCGCCGACGAGGGCGGACGCGACCACCGCGGCGGATTTCCGCTGACGGACGCGCTACCGCGGGTGACGAGGCGCATCCTTGGACGGACGCGCACCCACGGGCGACGAGGTGCATCCGCGGACGGACGCGCACCCGCGGGCGACGAGGCGCATCCGCGGACGGACGCGCACCCGCGGGCGTCGAGGCGCATCCGCGGACGGACGCGCACCCGCGGGCGACGAGGCGCATCCGCGGACGGACGCGCACCCGCGGGCGTCGAGGCGCATCCGCGGACGGACGCGCACCCGCGGGCGACGAGGCGCATCCGCGGACGGACGCGCACCCGCGGGCGTCGAGGCGCATCCGCGGGCGGACGCGCACCCGCGGGCGACGAGGCGCATCCGCGGACGGACGCGCACCCGCGAACGGACGTGCACCCGCGGGCCACGAGGCGCAATCACGGGCGACACAAACGCAGCTGCGAGTAACCCGGCGCCACCATACGTTACGTGACCGCACCACCCTTCCAAGTGGTGTCGTCCTCTTTGACCGCACCCGCCCTCAAGCCGGTGTCGTCACCCCCTCCCCTCCTCCTCCTCATGGCGGACGACTCCACTCCCATCGAGCTCGGAGCCATTGACAAGCTCGAACTTCTCCATGACACCACGGCCGTAAACTGGGCGTCGTTTGAAGATACGCTTCACACACACCTTGGCTCCGTCATCATTCAAGATTATTGCCTTCTTGATGTCGTCCTCGAGCACCCTAATGGCCTCCCACCTGTACTCCCCCCTCCCCTTGAACCTCCTCCCCCTGATGCCCCTCCTCCACCCGAGCCTCTTCCCGACCCCCCGCGTGCCCCAGTTCATGATGACAACCCGGATCGCTGGGGGGCCAACCTGAACACTTACAACAGGCTTCGCGACACTTACACCCTCCAGCGTGAGGCGCACCGTGTTGCGGAAGCGGCACACGCTGATGCTACTGCACGCCTCCTCTCCTACGCTCAACACGAAAAAGACTATGCAGAGGAGCTTCGCAAGATCCACAAGGATGCTGCAGCATGGCGCATTGCTGATCGTCGTGCACTCGCCATCATCTTCTCCTGCATCCCCTCCCACCTCAAACGCGACCTTCGTCCCACCTCCTCCTCTGGACTCTGGAAAACCCTCTCCACTCAGTACGATCGTCAGGACCTTCGCTCCCTCCTCGCCCTCTTCCGCAAATTCCAAGACATCACCCTTGACTCCTCCCCCACTGCTGCTGCCTACACCCGTCGCCTCATTGACACTGCGCAACGCCTCAATGACCGCGGCATTGTCATCTCTGAGTCCCTTCTTACTGCACTCATCCTTGACTGCCTCCCTCCCACATATGACACCTACCGCATCACCTTCACCTCTCGCTACCGTCATCCTCCTCCTGTGGCTGACACCATCGAGTGGCTCTTTGACAGCGAAGCGGACATTCAACGTGACTCCGCCACCGTCAATGCTGTCCAGACCCGCAAAGCTACCACAGGCAACCACAACAGCGGAACAGGTGGCGGCCCAGGTGGCGCCGGTGGTGGTGGTGGTGGACGTGGTGGCGGCCGAGGCGGAGGACGCGGTGGTGGTCGCAGTGGTGGCCGTGGCGGACGCGGCGGATATCCCTCACCTTCAGGCACCCTCCCCCCGTGTCAGTACATCATCCGCTATGGCTCCAACAAAGGTCAGCCATGCTCTCAGACCACTCACACCACGGACACGTGCTTCAAAGCCCTCACGGACGAGTGGTTTGCACGTGGCAACGTTGGCACTCCACCTCGCTGGAACACTGTTTTCCCACGCCCCTCCATTCATGACATCCGCACCCTCCCCGCATATCAGCCCTCTACTCCCAACCTTCACAATGTCCTCACTCAGCATCTCCCATCTCACATCCTTCAACAAGTTCAGCATCTTCTCCCCTCCACTCCCACCACACCCACTCCTCCCCCATCCACACCTCCGCCTCAAGCCCCTCCCCCTCACTACCCTCCACCCTATGCTGGCTGGCCTTACCCTCCCTACCCACCTCCTGGATATGGTCATGCACCTATTGGACCTGCTGCCACTCCTGCTGAACCACCATCCTCCTCCTCCAACCCTCCTGGCTTTACTCCATTCCCCTCTGCTGGATTCATAGGAAATGTTAGCACTCCTCCTGCTGATTCTATGTATGCACATGCTATTAATGAGTCTCTCTTCCAGTACTCCGCCTTTTCCTCCTCCTCTTCATGCCTTGAGTTTATCCTTGACAGTGGCGCGACACACACTGTTCTGCGTGATGCAGGCACACTGGTACCCCTCCCCACTCCCTCCACTATCCACGGAGCTGACTCCAGCTTCACCATCACAAGTAGTCACACCTCCACCCTCCCCTGTCCCATCTTCCCCTCAGGTACAGTCACAGGTCTATACATCCCCTCCCTACGCAACAATCTGGTAGCACTGTGTGACCTCACCAGGTTCAATATCACCGCCCTCTTCCCCGGTCATGCACGCCACTGCGACCTCTTTCAAACCGCCACTGGTCACTTCATCTGTCGCATTCCCCTCTGCCCTCGCACAAATCTGTACACGTACCGCACCCCTCGCACCTCCATTCACCACCTCATCGCCCCCACCTCACCCCTTCCCCTCCCCTCACCTCCGCTCCCCCCTCCCTCCCCACCTCCCATCCCCTCCCCCATCCCCTCCCCCCTCCTCCCCTCCCCTCCCCCCCCTCCCCCACCTCCTCCTCCTCCTCCTCCTGTCACTGTCGTGACCTCACCCACCCCGCAGTTCTCCTTCACCACAGGTTGGGTCATCCCAACTTTACCACCCTCCGTCAAACCGTCTCCACCCAACTCCTCGACGGACTCCCCCTCACCCTTCCCCCTCTCCCCCCATCACCCTCCCCTCCCTGCTCAGTATGCGTCGAAAGCAAACTGAAACAGGCCCCCCACAAGAGTCATCCCTCCTTTTCTCCCCAGCCTCTTGATCTCGTCCACATGGACCTCTGGGGCCCCAACCCTTCCCCCACCAGACAAGGTCATAAATACCTGCTCATCCTGGTGGATGACCACAGCCGCTACTCCTCCGTCTCCCTCCTTCGCACGAAGGCGGAGGCCCCGGCTGCTATTATTGCTTGGGCTGAACAAGCACGCACCCATTTCAAACGCCCTGTCTCCCGCTTCCACTCTGATGGCGGTGGTGAGTTCCTTAACAACATGCTCTCATCCTACTGCACCACTCGTGGTATCATTCACACCCACACCCTACCTCATTCCCCTCAGCAGAATGGCGTGGAGGAGAGTAGGGTTCGTGAGGTCACCAAAACTGCTCGGTGCCTCATGGTCCATGCCTCCTGCCCGCCCCCTCTCTGGGGCTATGCCATCCTCCACGCTGCCATCCTCACTAACTTGTACCCTCATCCCTCCCGGCCCACCACCACTCCCAACGCACTCTGGACATCCAAAAAGCCCGACATCACCCCCCTGCGCGTGTGGGGTTCCATGGCGTATGTTCTCATACACCCTGCCGACCGCTCACGCAAAGCTGGAAAGCTAGCCTCCCGCACTCTCCCCTGCATTTTCCTTGGTCACAACACCTCCTCCCCGGACTATCTCTTCCTCCATCCCCCCTCTGGTCGCCTCATTCGTAGTCGGGATGTGGAATTCGATGAAGCCCACCCGTACTACACCTCCCCCAAAGCCCCTAACCCCCTCCCTCTAACCACCCGTCCCTTCCTCTGGACTGACACCATTCCCCCCCCACCCCCTCTCCCCTCCCCTTCCCTTCTCCCCCCCCCCCACCATTGTCCCCCCTGCACCCCCTCCCCCCTCTCCCCCCGCCTCGTCAGGAGACATCCTTGACCCCGTCCACCCTCCTTCCCCATCCGCTGCCCCTCCCCCTTCCTCCCCACCCGCTGCCCCTCCCCCCCCTCCTTCCCCTCCGTCCCTTTGTGCAGAACATCCCCCGCCTCCCCCCTCCCCACGCCCTCCCCCACTCACTCCACCTCCGTCCTCACGGCCCCTACTTCCCACTCCCCCTCTCATACTCCGCCACTACCCTCACACCCGCTCCACGGTCCCCATTCTTGGTACCCCCAGGTCCACCCCCCCCTCCCTCCAGTCTCTCACATCCATCCCCCTTCTCCGCCACCATAGCACCTCCCCTCCCCCCCGCACCAGCACCTCAGGTTCTCTCAGCAGTCGCGCTCCCGTCTCTCTGCCCCTCACGGCAACCCAGCGAAGCCGAGCTGCAATGCAGCTGTCTCCTCGCCCCGACCCTCAGCGCAGCAGAGCACCAGTGCACCTGTGTCCCCGCATCAGCCCGACCCACCAGCGCAGCTGTCTTGCAACTTCACCGCCTCCTCTTCCTCCTCCTCTCACTCCGGACCTCATTGAGGATTCTCATGATGAGCTAATGTTCCTCCACCTCCTCTCACCAACCGTCGCCCCAGTCATCCGCACAATGGCTGGCACCACTGTTCTTCTCTTCTCCACCACCCCCACCATCTACGAACCCACCACCTATGAGCAAGCACTTGCCTGCCTTGATGCACCTCTCTGGATCGAGGCCATGGTCAAGGAGAGCAATGCCTTCATCAGCAACCGCTCGTTTATCGACGTCCCTCGTCCCTCAAAGCACAACGTGGTCCAAGGCAGGTGGCTTTTTCGAGTCAAACTACTCCCTGGCAACGCTCCGGTGTACAAGGCTCGATATGTGGCAAAAGGCTTCACACAGACCTATGGCTCAGACTTCTTCGAGACCTACTCACCCACCGCCACTCCACCGGTCATTCGCGTGTTTTTGGACTTTGTTGGCAGACGTGGGATGCTTCTTCACTCCATGGACGTCACCACCGCCTTTCTGCAAGGCGACCTTCATGAGCTCATTTTCCTGGAACGTCCCAAAGGCTTCCATGCTCCTCACGACCCTACCACTGTTTGGAAGCTGCTACGTCCTGTCTACGGGCTCAAACAAGCACCTCGGGAATGGCACGCCAAACTCTCCTCCACCCTTCGCACACTTGGCTTTCGCCCCTCCCGTGCCGCCTCATGCCTCTTCCTGCGCCTCACCCCATCACCCTTCTTCATCCTCGTCTACGTCGACGACATGCTGCTGGCCGCTGACACAACTGCTGACCTACAGGAGGTCAAGGATGCGCTGCAGAAACGCCTTGCCTGCAAGGACCTAGGGGAGGTTAGCAACTACCTCGGCATAGAGATCACTCGCGACCTCACTGCCAAGACCATCACCCTCTCTCAGTCATTTTACATCGAGAAGATTCTTGAGAGGTTTGGCATGACAACCTGCAAACCCATCCCCACACCACTTGCATTCGGGCATCAGCTCGCCCCTCCCACCACTCCCGTCACCTCCCCTCATCCCTACGCAGAACTTGTTGGGGCCCTGATGTACGCCATGGTCTGCACTCGTCCCGACCTTGCATACCCAGTCAGTGTTCTGGCGCAGTTCGTTGGCACCGGCAGGCATGGTGAAGAGCATTGGAAGGCGGCCATGCGTGTTCTTCGCTACCTTCAAGGCACGAAGGACCATGTCCTCACTCTGGGTGGTGTGAATCCGCCCACTCTTCAAGGCTTCAGCGACTCATCTTGGGCCGACGCACAGCCCGACCGTCGCAGCTCTCAGGGATATGGCTTCACACTTGGGGGCGGCCTCATCAGTTGGCGCTCCACCCGCTCCTCCTCCGTTGCCCTCTCATCCTGCGAAGCCGAACTGTACGCGGTCACGATGGCGGCTCAAGAAGCACGTTGGCTCAGCTACCTGCTCACCGACCTTGGCTCTCCACAGCCCCGCCCCACCCTGTGGTGTGACAACGACAGTACCATCCACCTCACCAAGGAAGCAGTTTTTCATGGTCGCTCTAAACACATCGAGCTTCGCTACTACTTTGTTCGCGACCTTGTCCAAGATGGTCACCTCACCGTTCGCAAAATCGCCTCCTCCGACAACCTCGCCGATCTCTTCACCAAGGCTCTCCACCGCTCCGACCACTCTGCGCTTTTGCGTCTCCAGGGACTTGCTCCCCGCGGTGGCTGACTCAGGGGTTGTTACTCTCTCTCTTCCCTAGCTTATGGATTTCTGTAGGTTAAGGGGTTGTGTCAGATTACCATCCTCATTGTAACCTACATCAATCCTATAAGCTTAGGCTAGAGATAGCCACCCAAACTTAGTTTGGGTGTAGAACTAGGGCTAACCCTAGTTGGGGGTTGGAACTCCAACCTTGGCCCCAAGGTTGGGTTGGGAATTATTGGTCCCCCCAATAATGTTGAACCAACTTGGTCAACATTATTGGTCCCCCCAATCATCCCTCAACCCAACTTATTGGTGGGGGCCAATAATGTTGGCTTGGTTCCCAACCAACCCCTCCCCCCAGCACTACTATGTATACCTCCCTCTCTCCTAATGAATTTAATGGTTCTTCCTCTCGTTTTCTCTACAACCCCCTCTTTCCCTGGCCCTTCTCCCTCCATCATTCCCTCTCCCCCTCCAGTTGCTGTGCCCTACGCCCTTCACCCCTCCAGCAGGCCTGGAGCACCACAAACACGCGGTGCTCGTCGCTGCCTCGCCACCCCCCAACCCACTTCACCTTCCCCTACCTCTTTCCCTTTTATGAATTCTCAAAAGCACCTCGCCACCTCCCCACCTCACCTGCTCCTTCCTGTTTTTTTGTCTCCCTTCTATCTCCACCCCCACCCCCCCAGATGCTGTGCCCCACGCCAGCCCCCGCAGCCACGCCACCAGCGGGTCTGGAGCGCCGCAAGCATGTGGTGCTAGTAGCCGCCTCGCCGCCCCACCGCCTGTCCAACCCCGTCGTCAAACCGCCCCTGCCCACCTCCACCCCTCCTGCTGCTGCTGCTGCTGCTGCTGCTGTTGGAAGTGGGGGGGGCGGCGAGGGGGCGTGGGAGGCAGCAGCGTGGTGGCTGGCGTCCGCCCCCATGGTGGCATCACTCTTCGCCCACCCCCAGGTGCAGTCGGTGTGATTGCGAGCAGCGCAGCACGTGATGATGGGAGCATTCTGCACCTGCTGCATCTGCTGCATCGTCTCTCTTATTGTCCTTTTGCAGCACCGCTGCCATCTTCTGGTCCTCCATCACATGCCATCTTCTGGTCCTCCATCACATGCCATCTTCTGGTCCTCCATCACATGCCATCTTCTGGTCCTCCATCACATGCCATCTTCTGGTCCTCCATCACATGCCATCTTCTGGTCCTCCATCACATGCCATCTTCTGGTCCTCCATCACATGCCATCTTCTGGTCCTCCATCACATGCCATCTTCTGGTCCTCCATCACATGCCATCTTCTGGTCCTCCATCACATGCCATCTTCTGGTCCTCCATCACATGCCATCTTCTGGTCCTCCATCACATGCCATCTTCTGGTCCTCCATCACATGCCATCTTCTGGTCCTCCATCACATGCCATCTTCTGGTCCTCCATCACATGCCATCTTCTGGTCCTCCATCACATGCCATCTTCTGGTCCTCCATCACATGCCATCTTCTGGTCCTCCATCACATGCCATCTTCTGGTCCTCCATCACAGGTCGCCGTTTCTGGGTTGATGTATTGCATGCGGGGTATTGCCCTGACCTGCATGCATCTTTCCATCACATGCGCATGCTGTGTGTGTGGCATCGTGTGTGTGTGGCATCGTGTGTGTGTGTGGCATCGTGTGTGTGTGGCATCGTGTGTGTGTGGCATCGTGTGTGTGTGGCATCGTGTGTGTGTGGCATCGTGTGTGTGTGGCATCGTGTGTGTGTGGCATCGTGTGTGTGTGGCATCGTGTGTGTGTGGCATCGTGTGTGTGTGGCATCGTGTGTGTGTGGCATCGTGTGTGTGTGGCATCGTGTGTGTGTGGCATCGTGTGTGTGTTGCATCGTGTGTGTGTGGCATCGTGTGTGTGTGTGGCATCGTGTGTGTGTGGCATCGTGTGTGTGTGGCATCGTGTGTGTGGCATCGTGTGTGTGTGTGGCATCGTGTGTGTGTGGCATCGTGTGTGTGTGGCGTCGTGTGTGTGTGGCATCGTGTGTGTGTGGCATCGTGTGTGTGTGGCATTGTGTGTGTGTGGCATCGTGTGTGTGTGGCATCGTGTGTGTGTGGCATCGTGTGTGTGTGGCATCGTGTGTGTGTGGCATCGTGTGTGTGTGGCATCGTGTGTGTGTGGCATCGTGTGTGTGTGGCATCGTGTGTGTGTGGCATCGTGTGTGTGTTGCATCGTGTGTGTGTGGCATCGTGTGTGTGTGTGGCATCGTGTGTGTTTGGCATCGTGTGTGTGTGGCATCGTGTGTGTGTGGCATCGTGTGTGTGTTGCATCGTGTGTGTGTGGCATCGTGTGTGTGTGTGGCATCGTGTGTGTTTGGCATCGTGTGTGTTTGGCATCGTGTGTGTGTGGCATCGTGTGTGTGTGGCATCGTGTGTGTGTGGCATCGTGTGTGTGTGGCATCGTGTGTGTGTGGCATCGTGTGTGTGTCGCATCGTGTGTGTGTGGCATCGTGTGTGTGTGGCATCGTGTGTGTGTGGCATCATGGTTGCATGACCTGGTCGCCCGTTTCCTGTCATGCCATGGGAATGCTGTGGCATGACATGACATGACATGATAATGCAATGCATGGTATGACATGGTATGACATGGTATTGCATGGCAGCTCTATGTCACTCTCTCCCTCATCGCTCCTCGCAACGTGCCTCAACTGAGGCAACTATATGCCGCAGTAAGCCCCTCCCTCTCTTCCTTGCAATGCCCTCCCCCCCTCGTTTGTGACACCATCGCTCATGCGACGACGTCATTCCAACTGTCCGCTCCCTCTGCATGTGCCCAGCACGGCAAGGCACTGTCTCTTTCAAAAACAGCATTGAGCGCACCCGGGTCCCCGTTACTCTACTGCCCTCACTGCTTTTCAGCTTGTCACTTCCCCTGCAAATAGCACAGCCGCTGACTCCCCATTAACCCCCACGTTCACCTGCTGATCAAAAGCACAGTCGGTGAAGTCACCCCACCCACTCACCCCACCCATAGAGCCTTGGGCTACGCGTTTTGTTGAGCATTGGTGACTGTGTGGTAACAAGGATTTAGCATGCAATGGCACCGCCTGCACCACACCAAGCATGAGCAGTGTAGCGACCCTACAAGCCACCTGTATCGTGAAGCCCATCAGTGTGTGCTGCATGTGTGTGCACGTGCTGCATGTGTGTGCACGTGCTGCATGTGTGTGCACGTGCTGCATGTGTGTGCACGTGCTGCATGTGTGTGCACGTGCTGCATGTGTGTGCACGTGCTGCATGTGTGTGCACGTGCTGCATGTGTGTGCACGTGCTGCATGTGTGTGCACGTGCTGCATGTGTGTGCACGTGCTGCATGTGTGTGCACGTGCTGTGCTGCATGTGTTTGCTTGCTCTTCCCCTCCCTCCCTCATCCCAGGCAAAGCGCAGCCCCAGGGCAGCGGAACCCATGGCAGATGCAGCGCGGCAGCACCCCCACCACGTGGCGCTCATTGCGGAGGGCTTCCTGGAGGCACGCAGCGTGCTGCACCGCGCTCCACCGCCCAATGAGGGCCCGCCACGTGGCGCCCAGGCGGCTCCTCTTCCGGGTGGTGGTGGTGCAGGAGGGCCTGGGGCGGGCGCAGGTGGAGGGCCAGTGGTGGCCATGGCAGCAGCAGGTATGGCCTGGGGCAGGCATGGGTGGGGAAAGCGCGGCTGGGCAGTTACTGGTTCTTAGTTTTCTTGTTGTTTCTGCCGTAGCGCATTCGCATTTGGACATGGGCGTGCAGACACGCAGCTCGCTTGTTTAGCTCACATCACATCACAGGTGCTGAGGATGCTTCTATTCTAGGTGCCTCCACCACATGAGTTGTGAATTCTGACGATGAGTTCCCGTGCCGTCCCTATGTATAACCTCCCCATGCCTGCATCTAATTGCATCCCTCAGGGCGACTGCCACAACCCGGGGCGCCCATGGGTCAGCAGCAGGCGAAGCAGGTGGGCAGTGTGTTATGGGATGGGCCATCATTGACGGCCTCGCGTGTTGAACCCATGTTTCAGTGTGCCATGCATACGTGATGAGGATGGCATGGAGACATACACATGCGTATTCATGCGCCATGATGGCAAGGTGACACAAGCATGTGAACGCATATCCATGCCCGCATTTGCACTCTCCCTTTTTCACCCAAACCCACACAGACACAAACACGCATTCTCCCACCCATTGGTACTCTTGTCCGGGCAGGTACAGAACCCTTTGTACAGAGCACTTGTCATGTAAGGCGAAGCCAAAAGACATGCGTAGTGCATGAAATGAACTAACTGGGAAAGCACAGGCACCAATGCATCAACAAAGCTGTGTGGCAAGAAATGAGTAAACGTTGCATCCTTACCTGTTCTGGTCAAACTGACTCGAACCGGCTTATGCTTTGAGTTTGGTTCGACCAAGACGGGACTAGTGTCGATTCTTGATTTCACTCTTTATTTACTACCAGGTGTGGGCTTTGCGTGCGTGCGTTACAAATATAACATTCTGAGCTTTACATGCCGTGATAGGAGAAGTAGGAATGAACTACACAATAATTCACAATAGTGCCTTAGTACACAACATTCACTGTGCATGCAAGCCGCGCTTCGACACAGTGGTGTCCTACACATTTCAGCCTATAGGTTGACCAACTCCCGCTTTGAGGTTTACTGTCTGGTCCGAGGCGAGCCGAACTGGACAGCAACGTTTTGTTCTTCAGTTGAGGTTCGGTTCTACTGAGATTTCTTCGTAGTCACACATTTTTTTAACAGATTTGCAGGTCACACTTGCGTTGGACAAAGGCAGGTACTCCCGACAGTGCAAACACACACACGCACACACACACACACACACACACACATACACGCACGCACACACACACACACGCACACACACACACACACGCACGCACGCACGCACGCACGCGTGCCTGCACACACGCACCCACACACACAAACACACGCACACACACACAACACACACACACACACTCTCACGCACACACAAACATGCAGGACTCTCACCCTCACCACCCCCCCTCCCCCCCCCCACCTCCACAGGAGCCCATGTATCCCGCGCCACCACAACAGCCTCTTGCCCGCCCTGCTGCTCCCTCCCCCTCCCCCTCGCAACCCCTGCGCGCCCACCAGCCCCCCCCTGCTGCGGCAGGGGGTGGGGGCACTACTCTGGGCGCGGGGGGTGTGGCGGTGGGGGTGGGGGCAGGGCAACCAGCTGCCACTGCTGCTATCACCACCGGTGCTGCTGGCGGTGCTGCTTGTGCGGTGGGAGTGGGCGCGGGGCCAGCAGCGCCCATGCCCTCTCTCCGCACCACGAGCCCCAGCCCGCACTTCTTCCCCTCCGCCCAGCAGCAGCAGCAGAAGCCACCACAGGCGTTTCAGCAGCTGCTACCGCAGCAGCAGGCAGCACAGCAGCAGGCACAGCCGACAGGGGTGGCTGTGCCGACAGGGGTGGCTGTGCCGACAGGGGTGGCTGTGCCGACAGGGGCGAGGCTGGGAGGAGGCATGGCAGGGCAGCACGTGGGAGCTGCGGGGATGGGACCAGCTGGGGGTAGCGCTGCTATGGGGGCACTGCCTGCTGCTGCTGCTGCTGGAGGGGCGGGGCGAGTGGCAGTGGGTGGTGTGGCTGGTGGGCCAGGGGGCGTGGCAGCAGCAGGAGCGATGCAGCAGCCTGGAGTGCCCCTGCAGGCACATCAGCAGCAGCAGCAGCAGCAGCAGCCGCCGCCTTCCCAGATGGTTGTTGGTCCTGGAGGCCGCATGATGCCCCGTGCCGCACCTATAGGCATGGCAGCAGCAGCAGCAGGAGCACCTGCAGCAGGTATGGGTGCAGCCATACCAGCAGCCGTTCCCGGACCTCAGATGGCCAGGCCTGGAATGCCCATACCTGCCGGAGGCCCGGGAGGAGCAGTTGTTGGCATGGCAGGTCGCGGAGGACCGGGCTTGGCTGCTTCTCAGCCAGGCCTTGCCCGTGGGATGGCACCAGGTCGGGGAGCAGGCCCGGGAGCAGGTCCGGGAGTAGGCCCGGGGGCAGGGTACATGGGGCGAGGAGGTCCGGGAGTGGCAGCAGAGGTGGTGGGGGAGTCAGGGGGGGGTGCAGCAGCAGCAGGCATGGGCGGGCGGGGGGTGAGCCTGACAGTGACAGCGCAGCAGGGCAGGCCGGGGCAGGCAGCAGTGGTGGGCGGTGGGGCGGGCATGGGGATGGGGATGGGGGGAGCAGGGGGAGCAGCAGGGGGGCCGATGGTGGGGGGGCAGGCCGCCATGGCAAGGCGTGTGGTAGGGGGCGTGGTGGGGGTGGGTGGTCCCATGGCAGGGGCAGTGGGAGGAGTGGTGGGAGTTGGTGCGGGCATGGCAGGGGCGGCAGGGGGTGGATCAGCTGGTGGTGCTGGCGGGCAGATGGGCCAGCGGCCTCCCCTGCTGCAGCAACAACAACAGCTGCAGCCACAGGCACAGCAGCAGCAGCAACAGCAGCAGCAGTTCCAGGCTCAGCAACGACCAGCACAGCCGCAGTTTCAGCAGGTGCAGGCGGGTGGAGGGGCAGGAGGAGTGGGTGGAGTGGTGGGGGGCCAGGCAGGGGGTGTGCAGCGAGTGGGTGTGGGGCAGGGTGTGGCAGGGCCGCAGGCTACAGTGGCAGGAGTCGCTGCCGCGGCAGCAGCAGGTGGGCCAGCAGGCGCAGTGGGAGGAGCAGCAGCAGCAGCAGGGCCTGGGCATGCCATGGCCGCCCGCCCGCTGCCTCACGCGCCTGGCGCTGCTGCCCCTGCTGCTGCCATTGCTGCTGCTGGTGGGCCGCAGCCCACTCCCGCTGCTCCTGCTGCTGCCGCCCCACCTGCTGCTGCTGGCGCTGGGGCAGGGACAGGGGGCGTGAGGCCGCCTGGGCAGCCCCCGCGGTACCTCAAGCTGTGGGAGGTGAGTGGGCAGTGTGCCTTCCCCCCACTCACCCTGCTCATGTCCTGTTCGATGAATCCCTCTTTTGAGGATTTTCCTTGCTAATATTTTGACTAGCAAATCGCTCTAATTTGCTGTGCTGTCTCCATCTGGAAGACGCAGATCACATTACCAGCAGTGCGACATCATTCTGACTCGCTATTGCCACTCCCCTGCTACCCATGCCATGTCCCGGTCACGTCATCAGGGCACGCTCATGGGCCAACGCAAGGACAAGTCTGTTGAGATCTGCCGCATGGAGGTGAGATCTGTCGCATGGAGGTGAGATCTGTCGCATGGAGGTGAGATCTGTCGCATGGAGGTGAGATCTGTCGCATGGAGGTGAGATCTGTCGCATGGAGGTGAGATCTGTCGCATGGAGGTGAGATCTGTCGCATGGAGGTGAGATCTGTCGCATGGAGGTGAGATCTGTCGCATGGAGGTGAGATCTGTCGCATGGAGGTGAGATCTGTCGCATGGAGGTGAGATCTGCCGCATGGAGGTGAGATCTGTCGCATGGAGGTGAGATCTGTCGCATGGAGGTGAGATCTGTCGCATGGAGGTGAGATCTGCCGCATGGAGGTGAGATCTGTCGCATGGAGGTGAGATCTGTCGCACGGAGGTGAGATCTGTCGCATGGAGGTGAGATCTGTCGCATGGAGGTGAGATCTGTCGCATGGAGGTGAGATCTGTCGCATGGAGGTGAGATCTGTCGCATGGAGGTGAGATCTGTCGCATGGAGGTGAGATCTGCCGCATGGAGGTGAGATCTGTCGCATGGAGGTGAGATCTGTCGCATGGAGGTGAGATCTGTCGCATGGAGGTGAGATCTGTCGCATGGAGGTGAGATCTGTCGCATGGAGGTGAGATCTGTCGCATGGAGGTGAGATCTGTCGCATGGAGGTGAGATCTGTCGCATGGAGGTGAGATCTGTCGCATTGAGGTGAGATCTGCCGCATGGAGGTGAGATCTGTCGCATGGAGGTGAGATCTGTCGCATGGAGGTGAGATCTGCCGCATGGAGGTGAGATCTGTCGCATGGAGGTGAGATCTGTCGCATGGAGGTGAGATCTGTCGCATGGAGGTGAGATCTGCCGCATGGAGGTGAGATCTGTCGCATGGAGGTGAGATCTGTCGCATGGAGGTGAGATCTGTCGCATGGAGGTGAGATCTGTCGCATGGAGGTGAGATCTGTCGCATGGAGGTGAGATCTGTCGCATGGAGGTGAGATCTGTCGCATTGAGGTGAGATCTGCCGCATGGAGGTGAGATCTGTCGCATGGCATGGAGGTGAGATCTGTCGCATGGAGGTGAGATCTGCCGCATGGAGGTGAGATCTGTCGCATGGAGGTGAGATCTGTCGCATGGAGGTGAGATCTGTCGCATGGAGGTGAGATCTGCCGCATGGAGGTGAGATCTGTCGCATGGAGGTGAGATCTGTCGCATGGAGGTGAGAGTGTTGATTCTGTTCCTCCTTAGAGTTGCGCATATGGTAACTCTACACAAACTTTGAGGGGTTGGAAGTTGGAAGTTGGATGTGAAACAAGGGCTACTTTCAAGTTAGGCCGTCGGCTGAGTTGTTCAACCTCATTACGGTTGAGCGCAAGGCAGGAAGGAGGTGAACGATGGACAAGTAGCGAGGAATCTCTCTCGTGTGCCCTACATCTTGGTGTCCGCTAACAGCCTGGATGTCGACGGAGGTCTAGGTTCCAATAGTATGGATCCGTTATTGAAGATTTTCCTTTGTGCGCATGTGAACCTGCAAGTTCTGCTCACTTGTGGAGGTACCTGTTTACTCAGCCATTGTTTGCGCTGAACCTGCACAAGTGGTTATGTGACTGAGTGGGTCAGTGCATGCGTGCACTAAATGATGTGTTATCCCTTCTTTTGCGTGTACCGGTGTCACTGGCAGGGCTACCACCAAGCAACATCTCCTCCCAAGTATGTGATTTGTCCAACCCTAATCCACTCACTACCCAAACTGTTGTATGCACAACTCGTTTCTCGCATCCCCACTCGTCACACCTCCACTGGCTCTACCCTTCATAGCAGTTGGTTGTGACCAAGCGCTGTCACACCTCCACTGGCTCTACCCATCTCTTCCGTTTTTTCTGCTCTGTGCTTCTTTGCATACGCATGACTCTTGCTTGGTAATGAATGCAAGCAACTGTACGATGCTCTTTTGTCACCCATAAGCCTCGCATCGATCTCCTCCCCCCAACGCCTGCTCACAGCCTGGCAGCAGACTGGCCGGACACCATGCAGATAGTGCGGCTGGTGTCCCAGGAGTGCATGAACAACAAGTGAGTTGCACTGCTGCACACACAATATGCGTGGCACAAATTAGACGTACATACTCAACTAAGGTGCATCTCATCTCAAGCTGTAGCTGGCAAGAGATTCAGTATGAAGCAAGCGCTATTACTACTCATGAGGTCCATGATGTCAGCTTAGAATCGATGCATTAGTAATGAGCTTGAAGCTCTTTAAGTACATCCAGAATGAGCAAGGTATTGGGGAAGGATTTGGGGGCAATCTTTAGGAATTTGGAGTAGTCCCAAGGCAATCTACAATTTTTGGGGTTAGAGATTGCTTGGAGATCACATTTGGGTTTGGTTGGGATGTGGGTGTACACCCAACCAAACACAAAGTGCAAACTACACTAAACTAGGATAGAGAGATTGAGATTGAGGGCTAACACTAGCACATGAGAGCTGAATTCATCAAACGATGAGCAGCATGTAAGCTGTTCCAAGCGGCCACACTTCTATGCTTGTAGCCCCTCCTGCTCCAACATGCCCTTTATCTCTTGCTCCGCTCCTCAACTCTTTCCGTCGCCGCCACTCTTCCTCACACCCCCCCTCACCACCCACCCCAGGGAGCTAGCAGGGAAGGCGGAGCTGCTGGTGTTTCGGCCCATGTCATCGCACGTGTTCCTGCAGCAGATGGCTGAGAAGAAACTCGTGAGTGCAGCAGATGGCTGAGAAGACTCGTGAGTGCGTCAGGGGGCACTAATAGCCGGCAGCAGCTGTCAGCAACTGTGGGAACAAAGTACTAGAGGTTCCCTGCATTGCTCCGCATGCCCTTGCAATGCTCGACATGGGCTTGCATGCGTTCTAGGGGCAGATAGCTCAGAAGGAACGTGTGAGGGGTTGAGGGAGAAGGTTTGAGAGTGTGTTGGATTTGGTTAAAGAGAGGGAAGTGAGAAATAGCAAGTTTAGAGTGTGAGAGGGCATGATGGGACGATGACATTCATTGTGACATGATGCACCATGATTGCGTCCATGCTTGTGCCTTGCACCATCCATGCCAGCATGTCTGTACCACACCCTTGCACATGTGCCAGCAAACACACTTAAGCAGCATTCATCCCCCATCTCAATCTCCTGCACACACACATACATGCACATAAAATGCATGCATTCGTGTTCTTGTTATGCGCTTTTATGCGTCGCATGCACATGCATCCATCAGTGCACCGTCATTCAGCTGCCATCTCAAACTCTCCTCCTCGGCACCGTACCGGACCGATCCAGCCGCCTTGTTGGCATGCTTTTTCCCAAGGTAGATCACCCTTAATCGTTGTTTAGCGTTTTCCTCACCATGTGCATAGCACCATACATGAGCAAGCTGCTACATCCCTGGTGCTCCCCTTCCATGCTTCTTTTATTTGCTTGTCCTCGCTGCTTACCATGTACAGTCGCTTCCCTCCACCTTTCCTGACATCAAACAATCATCTCCTCGTCATGACTGTACATCCATGTGCTGCCTCGTCATGACTGTACATCCATGTGCTGCCTCGTCATGACTGTACATCCATGTGCTGCCTGTGCGTTTGAAACTTGTTGAACATATTTGGATGGCTGAGTTGATTTTTTGCAAATCTCTTTGCTCTGCCACAATGCTGTGCCACCATCACAGGACATGGTGCAGTTCCAAGGTGCCCGCCCTCCACAGCAGCAGCCACCACCGCAACAACAGCAGCAGCAGATGCAGCAATAACATCAGCACTAGTGACCTCAAATGGCGTATCAATTCCGTCATGTGTTCTCTGGTGTTAGTGTTTGTCTCTGGTTCATCGCACAGACTGTAGCAGCGGAAGTTTTCTAGTGGTAAGGTTGGGTACGGACTCTGTCAGTAGAGGGAGCATTGACTTTCGACATAATTAAATATACCGTAGCAATGCGGTACAAGGGTTTCTATAGGAAAACAAGGAAATGCGAAGAGCCGTAAATAGTCGTGTAACCAGAGGGGGTACATTCCCCGTATGGCTAATCTAGATTGGAAAAGGTGGTTGTTCGAAGCTGCTGATATAACTGAAGGATCGTAGTGAACAGGATAAGGTTGCCAAGTGTGGAAGAGAACTATGAAGTCTCTGTAATGACTTGGTTGATTAATTGAAAGAGAACAAGATTATATTAAAGATAGAAGTACAGGGATATAAATAACATTCCTAGCTAGCCATGTACTCTGAGGGGTGTTGGGAATAATAAGTCTTAAGCGCCTCTGTCGTGTCGAAACTCAGGACACTAGCGAAGCAGTCCGAATCGAAGCATCGCGAGTCAACCCTCGGAGGTTAGGGTAACCACCTGGAGGTTACGCGAAGGTCAAAGGTCAGCGACCTTTGACTTGACAAATACAGCGCGACAGCAAGGACACACAACTGACTCGACATTGAGCAGTTGCCCGAGTCGCACTGTATCGAATCGCAACAGTAAAACGGTTTAAACTTATCTATTCGTATTCCTTGTACTCTTATATAAACATTTGTATTTGCTTGTTTAATCAACTTTGCCCTCACATACTAGCGCAAGGTGGTTCAAGGACTTTCATTCAAACGCTTCCGCTATTACAATCCTACTCAGACTTTAAGCTCTACAAAGATCCTAGGGCACCTCAGCCCAACATGGTATGAGAGCGGTTAGAGTTTAAAGTTATTTTCCTTTTAACACTCAAATACAAGAAGACATGTCTGCAAGGAAATAGAGGAGCTCCTCCAACGGCTCTCCAGGCACTACTCCTACTCCACCTCCTGCCTCTGGCCTACAGACAGAGGAAGGAACTATCACAAGACCAGCAGCTGGGTCCACGGAAACTCCCGTAGGCTTCGATCCAAGCATGATGGAGAAGTTCTTCTCCTTCATGTCCTTCTACGAGCAGCACCAGCAAGGAGTACCTGCGCAGTCAAACAACAGCAACAACAACAACGTGACTCCTATGAGCCACGCATTGCCCGTCTCGTCAGACAACACCACAGCGACAACTCCGGCCTTCAAGCTCCCAAGTTGCTTCAACGCAAGCAAATCCGACGACCACAATCCAAGCCTCAACAACTTCAACTGGACAACCTGCACAAGGAACAAGAAGCATTGTCAATTGCATGGTGAAGTTAACTGATTCGTGCACAACCGAGTCACCACCCCACTACTCACCGGAAGAAGAGCTTGACAACAGGACGCCTCGCCGCGAATCACTCCAGCCGAATCCCACGTACGCCGCCATCGCTCAAAGCGAACCGTCCGTGCAAGACACCTGGTTCTTGGATAGTTGTTGCGGACAACACATGTGCTCCTCCGGACGCTTCGTACAACGCGAACATCGACTCCAGCGAGAAGTAGTCATCGATGCTGCGCGCATTACCGCTCACACATGCACTGCCCCCATTTCCCACCTCACCGCGTGCTACCTGATAGCACGAAGGCCCCACTTGGCGAAGCTGCGCTGAGAGAGAGGCACGAGCACGGCAATGCTGCGTGCATTACCCCTCACACATGCACTCCCCCCCCCCCCCCCCCCAATTCCTCACCTCACCCGTGTGGTACCAGATAGTGCCACACTTCACCACATTCAACACCTGATAGCTCCGGTGGGCGTACCTGGGGGAAAGGGGGGGCAGAGGGGGGAGAGCCGCGGCAGGTGGGGTGGTGTAGAGCGGCATGCGGGTATGGGGGTGTGTGAGGAGAGGAAGGGGGTATGGAGCAGTGCGTCCTTGGGGAATGCCAGCAGTTCTGGCAGCAGTGCGTTGGGCTTGGGAGTGATCACCTGGTTGGGCGTGCCTTGGGGTGGGGGGCAGGGGGCAAGAGGGGGGACGATGGGACACACGGGGGAAGAGAATGAAAGACACCAGGAAGAGGTGCGAGTGAGGAAAGCGGTTGGGCCAGCAGCGCAGACACCAGAGGTAGTGTGCTCAGCTCCGGTGGGAGCACGTGGTGGGAGCACGTGGTGGGAGCACGTGGTGGGAGCACGTGGTGAGAGCACCTGGTGGGAGCACCTGGTGGGAGCACGTGGGTTTGACCAGAGGTGAGGGGGGCGCTAGGAAGGAAGGGAGGGGAGGTTGTGAGGTGGGTCAAGTGGAGATGGTGGGGCGTGGACTGGCAGTACGAGCTGAGAGCCACTTTGAGGCGAGCTGAGAGCCACCTTGAGGCGAGCTGAGAGCCACCTTGAGGCGAGCTGAGAGCCACTTTGAGACGAGCTGAGAGCCACTTTGAGGCGAGCTGAGAGCCACTTTGAGGCGAGCTGAGAGCCACTTTGAGGCGAGCTGAGAGCCGCTTTGAGGCGAGCTGAGAGCCGCTTTGAGGCGAGCTGAGAGCCGCTTTGAGGCGAGCTGAGAGCCGCTTTGAGGCGAGCTGAGAGCCGCTTTGAGGCGAGCTGAGAGCCGCTTTGAGGCGAGCTGAGAGCCGCTTTGAGGCGAGCTGAGAGCCGCTTTGAGGCGAGCTGAGAGCCGCTTTGAGGCGAGCTGAGAGCCGCTTTGAGGCGAGCTGAGAGCCGCTTTGAGGCGAGCTGAGAGCCGCTTTGAGGCGAGCTGAGAGCCGCTTTGAGGCGAGCTGAGAGCCGCTTTGAGGCGAGCTGAGAGCCGCTTTGAGGCGAGCTGAGAGCCGCTTTGAGGCGAGCTGAGAGCCGCTTTGAGGCGAGCTGAGAGCCGCTTTGAGGCGAGCTGAGAGCCGCTTTGAGGCGAGCTGAGAGCCGCTTTGAGGCGAGCTGAGAGCCGCTTTGAGGCGAGCTGAGAGCCGCTTTGAGGCGAGCTGAGAGCCGCTTTGAGGCGAGCTGAGAGCCGCTTTGAGGCGAGCTGAGAGCCGCTTTGAGGCGAGCTGAGAGCCGCTTTGAGGCGAGCTGAGAGCCGCTTTGAGGCGAGCTGAGAGCCGCTTTGAGGCGAGCTGAGAGCCACTTTGAGGCGAGCTGAGAGCCACTTTGAGGCGAGCTGAGAGCCACTTTGAGGTGACTCTGGAGTGTATTCAATAATCCAATTTTCATTTGAGGTTACCCTTCTGCTGATTGTTATCTGAGTGAGTATTCTTGTACGCTCCTCTTTTCTCCTCTCATATCCTCCAACAGTCAGCTCATTCTGTTGTTTTGCACGCTCCCCTTCCCTCCTCACTACAGTAATCAAGGACCTGGGCGTAGAGCCTTATAACAAGGAAACAGGCCAGGGCATGCTCAGATACATTCAGGTGAGGTCCAAATCAGGTGGGTTCCTTCAGGTGGTTTTTCAGGTGCCCATCAGGTGGTTTATTAGGTGGATTTCAGCACGTCGATTCTACCTGATGCCTGCCTGCAAAAATAGTAGTTTTGAGACGTCTCAAAACTACTCAATTCTACCTGCTGCCTGCCTTTGCAACATCTCCTTGCTTTTGAGAATTATAAAGAAATCCCCTTGCTCCCTGCAGCTTACTCCACCACATCTCCTGCTTCATGGCCATGCCTCAACACCTTCCAACCGCACTCCACTCCCCCGCACCCATTCCCACCATGCAGCTTGCCCTCACCACCAACGACACCTCCATCCCTTCTTCTGAGCGATACCTGAAAGGTACGCACGCACGCACGATCACTTTTGAGATTTCTTTCTTAGTGCTGAAACAAGCTTGGTGCATACCTGAAAGGTACGCGCGTGCTACATACATTGAATGCACAGTGACAGTCCAATCAGCTCGGCACCTGCAGATAGATGCATAATCCAGGTAGCCACATGGCACATGCTGTTACCACCACGCGAGCCATATGTTGATAGTCCAATCCAGGTAGATACATACATTGAATGCACAGTGACAGTCCAGTCAGCTCGATACCTGCAGTGCAGATAGATGCATATTCCAGGTAGCCACATGGCACATACTGTTGCCATAGCCCATGCCTCCATTGCCTGTGCCTCCATTGCCCATGTGTCCAAACCCCGTGCCTCCAATGCCCATGCCTCCATTGCTTAACTTCACCATATCTCACCACCCGCCGTCCCATCACATCCCAGGCAAGGTGCCGGTGACACTGGTGTGGAACGCGAGCAATGAAAAGGTATTTGAGTCAACCGAAAACTCACTATTTCCATTGCATTCCATCATCCCACCCACCCACCCATCATCCCAGCCAGGCAAAGTGCAGGTGACGCTGGTGTGGAATGCGAGCAACGAGAAGTCTTTTGACTCGACTGAAAGCCCGTCTTCCTGCCGTTGAGCTTTGAGCATTGAGTTGCAACCCATACTCCCATCCACCCATCAACCCGTCCCAGGCAAGGTGCAGGTGACGTTGGTGTGGAATGTGGGTTTTGAGGCGCCTCTCAGATATACCAGCACCACCGTCCCATTCCACTCCTCGTCCCCATATTCCCATCATCCCATCATCCCATCAACCCATCCCAGGCAAGGTGCAGGTGACGCTGGTGTGGAACGCCGGTCATGTATCGCCTCAAATATACCACCACCACCGTCCTAATTCCTCTCATCAACCCATCCGCCCATTTTCCCATGCCCATCATCCCATCCCAGGCAAGGTGCAGGTGACGCTGGTGTGGAATGCGAACAACGAAAAGTCACCCGCTGCTGAGAAGATTCCAGCCCTGTGCAAGGTGGGTGAGACATGAAAGATGAGAGGCGAGCGATGAGAGGCGAGAGATGAGAGGCAAGCGATGAGAGGCGAGCAATGAGAGGCGAAAGATGAGAGGCGAGAGATGATAGGCGAGCGATGAGAGGCGAGCGATGAGAGGCGAGCGATGAGAGGTGAAGAGATGAGAGGTGGAGAGATGAGAGGTGGAGAGATGAGAGGTGAAGAGATGAGAGGTGGAGAGATGAGAGGTGGAGAGATGAGAGGTGGAGATTTGAGAGGTGGAGAGATGAGAGGTGGAGAGATGAGAGGTGGAGAGATGAGAGGTGGAGAGATGAGAGGTGGAGAGATGAGAGGTGGAGAGATGAGAGGTGGAGAGATGAGAGGTGGAGAGATGAGAGGTGGAGAGATGAGAGGTGGAGAGATGAGAGGTGGAGAGATGAGAGATGAGAGATGGAGTGACGGAGTGGCGAAGAGATGGAGGGGGTGAGAGGGTGAGATTAGAAGATTCCAGCCCTGTGCAAGGTGGGCGAGACATGAAAGATGAGAGGTGGAGGGACGGAGTGGCGAAGGGACGGAGGGGGTGAGATGAGAAGATGAGAGATGAGAGACGAGAGAGGAGAGAGGAGAGAGGAGAGAGGAGAGAGGAGAGAGGAGAGAGGAGAGAGGAGAGAGGAGAGAGGAGAGAGGAGAGAGGAGAGAGGAGAGAGGAGAGAGGAGCGAGGATAGAGGAGAGAGGAGAGAGGAGAGAGGAGAGAGGAGATAGGAGAGAGGAGAGAGGAGAGAGGAGAGAGGAGAGAGGAGAGAGGAGAGGCAGAGGGAAGGCGGAGGGTAGGTGCAGAGGACAAAGTGCTACAGTGCATTCCGTGTGCCGATCTGTAACCCTTCCAACTGTTCTCACCATTTTCCATCTCCCTTTTCCGTTTTAGTTCCACTCTGTTGTCTACTGTGGGGGTGGGGAGGCGCAAATTCAGCTTGAACCACTCCACCGTTCTGAACCCTTTTGCCCTCCTGGTGCCTCTTCGTTCTTCCACTCAAAAAGAACCCAGGCTGCGGGACGGAAGGTGGAGATTCTCCTTAAACTCTTTCTACCATTCTGAACCCCTTGTAATTCCTCTTCTTTCACCCCGCGTGCAAAACATCCCCAGGAGCTATGGCTGCGGGGAGGCAAAGAGGATCGGGTGCTGCACTCTGTGTGGGTCAACTTCCAGACGTCCTCCAGCAATGTGAGTGTGGCTTAAGGGAGGGGGGGGAGCAGGGATTCAGGGCGTAAGAGTTGAGGTAACAGCAACGGTACAGGAGTGGCCAGGAGCTCAAGTGCTGCACTCTGTGTGGGTCAACTTCCAGACATCGCCAGCAATGTGAGCATTGGGGGAAGAGGCGTATAGGGTGCAAGGATTTGTAGTATGATGGTATAGCCTATAGGCCATTGGGGTCTCAGTGTCAGCCTCAGGTAGGAAGCTCGAGTGCTGCACTTCGTGTGGGTGAACCTCCAGACATCCTCCAGCAATGTGAATGACTTGAAACTGGATGGTGGGCGTGTTACCCGAGGTAACAGCAATGGTACAGGATTGGCCAGGGGCTTGAGTGCTGCACTTCGTGTGGGCGAACCTCCAGACCTCCTCAGCAATGTGAATGAGATGAGAATGCATTTTGGGTGTATTACCTCAGGTAACATCAATGTGCTGTACTATGTCCAGCAACACGGTACAGGAGTGCCCAGGGGATCGAGTGATGCACTCTGTGTGGGTGAACTTCCAAACTTTGACCAGCAACGTGAGAATGGTGTGGGGATGGATTGTTGCCGTATTACCTCAGGTAGCAGCAATGTGAAATGAGATGAGCATGGCTTGTGAAGGTTGGGGTTTTCCAGTCTAGGGGCAACAGTCCGGTAGGGGCGTTCAAGCCAAGTCAGAGGCTCGAGTGCTTTTGAGGCGCCTCAAAGGGCGTTCAAGCCATGTCGTAGGTGGCTTGCCGTTGACATGGTTTGTTCTTGACATGCGTTGCTAATGACTTTCAATAACTTGCATTTTTTTACGTACTGGAAATATACTAAGTTTCCATTCCGTCCTTGTTGCAATGCCAGTCAATGCTCATGATTCCAGTGCCTCCTTCTGCCTCTCACTCTACCTCTCACTCCGTCTTTTCCAACATTCTTTCTACTCTGTGCCAATAACTCTCCTCCTTCTTGCAGTTTCGCCCCCGTTCCCGCCTCTCAACCAATCAACCTTCAACACTTATGCTCTCCACACCCCCACCAGTGAGCTTTTTCTCTATTCCCTTTGACTGTTCTGACTTCGAGAGACTTGTGGGTTGTAGTAAGTACTTTCCTTCTTGCTCTGCAATTTTTGCTGAATAGTAATTTCTCTTCCACGCGTCTCTCCCCCCGATCTCTTTGCTCTCCAGGTCGCTTCCTACTCTCATTCCTCGTTGCTCCCTCAGACCTTCTTTTCATCCCTCTAATATAGTTTGCCAATACGAATGTTTCAAATACCTTACAATGCATCATTGCATATCAGCAACAGTGTTTCATGTTGCCACCAACAGCAATCCATGATGCCTCTGGCATTGCATGTCGATTGCGGTGCGAGAAGTGAAACGAGAAGGCGGAAGGAAAGAGACGCACAACAGCAGCGGGCTTTGCTTTGCAGTGGCAATGGGATACGGTTTTTGGTGCAATCGTTCATATGAATGTTTAGCTGGATCATAATATATTGAGCAATCTTTTTTCTTCATCCATTATGGAAACATTTATTTATATCTTTGATAAGTTGAATAGCCTAGGAAATGTCGTTCTCTTATTTATTACGCGAATGTGAAAGTGTTGAAATTGTTAGACACACCTTTATGGGATATTTCGAGAATAATTGTAATGTTATCAGAGCATTCCCCGTAGAAGCGTCTTCTCAGCCCATCGAAATGCTCTCAGCCCCGTAGAAGCGTCTTCCGACGATTCCACTCTTCCAGAAGAGGTCCACCTTTACTTTCCTGTCGCTTCCACTTTTCCGCTCCAAATCTCGGGGCTCTGATCGGAATGGAGATTACCATCGTGTTCGCGGCGATGGTCGTGCTATCATCATGGTGGACCTCACCTTCGGCTCGCGCGTCGGAACGCCGCTCGCTCGCTCTCATCGGTAGGCTTGCTCGATCGCCCCCTCGTTGGTTCGCTCGCTTTCTCGCTCGCTCGCCGCACTGTCGTGTGGCTCCAGAGGTGCGCTTTGACTCACTGAATTGAAGTCACCACGCTGCCTTATGGATTCACAACCCATCATCGAAGCACTTTCCCCCCTCGACCCGCGTTGGTGCGCTCGGTCGCACTCCGATGCTTTACCTGTCTGTCCGTTCCTTTGCTCGTGTCTGCTCTGCCCGCTCCGTTTCACCTAAAATTCGGCTGCCTTGCTGCCCAGTGACCTTCCCAGCAGACACCAAGCCAAGCAGCCTAAACTCTCGGTCTTCTTCTGGCCGCCCCCCTCCATGCCTTCCTCCTCCCCTCCATCCCCGCCCTCCCACTCCCCTCCGTCCCTGCCCTCCCACTCCCCTCCGTCCCCGCCCTTCCACTCTGCTCCTTCCCCGCCCTCCCCCCCCCTTCCCTCCATTCCCACGGTCTCTACGTCCACCCCACACGCCACGTGGGATGGGATGGGTTGGGATGGGATGGGATGGGTTGGGATGGAATGGGTTGGGATGGGTTGGGATGCTATGGGATGGGATGGGATGGGATGCTATGGGATGGGATGGGATGGGACGGGACAGGGTGGGTTGGGATGGGATGGGATGGGATGGGATGGGATGGGATGGGATGGGATGGGATGGGATGGGATGGGATGCTATGGGATGGGATGGGACGGGACGGGGTGGGTTGGGATGGGATGGTGTGGGGTGGAGACGGTTGAAAAACCGCTAGTGATGTCGAGTGCCACTGCTACACCGCTCCCCCCCTCCTCTCCCCTTTATAAGGCGCCTCAAAACTAATTCCGTGTTCCATCCTCCATTGTCCCATCACATAACTCATGAGGAGCCAAGTCTCAACTCAGTGGATTGATTGCCAGTGACGTCACACACTATCATTGCATCCTCCCCCCTCCCACATGCTCTGCTTATCATGCGCCTCATACATGCAGTCTCCCCCTTCCATCCTCCCTCGCCCCCCTACCATGCTCTATCAGAAGCCCGGTCTCGAGTCACTGTCAGGACCATAATCACAATTCCATGCTACCATGGTTGACCAGGAGCTGGGACTGGAGTCGACTGAAATGACCGCCAGCGACACTATCGCTGCATTCTCCCCATGCCCACACTCTCCTCGTGATGTGCCATGATCGTGCAGGATGGATAGGGACCTTCCTTTTGGGGGGGTGCAACGTTTGTTTGGGGGGAAAGGTGGATTGAGACTTTGAGGTCAGGGCGAGCAAGGGGCAGGGAAACTCCCTTCTTCTGCCTCTTCTAACTCCCCCACCCTCTCTTCCCCTCGCCTTACCTGGGGGGTTTCAATCCCTCTCCTCGCCCCTCCCTTTCCCTTATGAGGCGCCTAAAAAAATTGAATGCCTCTCATCGCCCCTCACTTTCCCTCCCTTATGGGCAATATAAATGAACTTATCCGAAACATAAGAAATATTATGAGGCGCCTCAAAAGTTTGAATCCCTCTCCTCGCCCTCCCTTGGCCTTACCTGTAAGGGCTGAAATTCGTTCGGTGGGTGAGTGGATGGGAAGCGGCTGAAACCCTTTGAGTGGGTGAATAAGAAGCAAGGGGGTTGAATTCTCTAGGGTGGGTGAGTGAGAGCTCAAGGGGGCGAAAGCAATTGGGTTGGTGAGTGAGTGGAAATTGGGCTGAAACCCCTTGATTTGAGTGGTTGAGAAAGACAGGGGCTGAAACCTCTTGGGTGGGTGAGTGAGAGGGAAAGGTTGAGAGAGCGAGCAGAGGTGCAGGAGAGGGAGAATGCGGAGCTGCAGTAGTTGCGGCAAAGGAACAGGGCAAGAGCAGGTGGCGCGGCATGCAATTCTACACGCGGCGGAAGCCTACATCGTGTACAGGTCCGCCCCCTCCATCTCCAGCATCGAGCGCATGCACGCCGACATCGCAAGAAGGAGATGCGCCGACGACTGAAGTGTGCCCATGGGGGTCCCGACTCGAGCAGCCTCTACAAGATCCCCCACGTGGCGGGGGAAGGTATGCGCTAAGGGCGCTACCCCGACGGGCGCTTCAGACACGGGTGCCAACGGCGACTCGAGCGATTCTTCCAAAGACACGCAGGATCCTCGGGAACCTACACCATAACTGCTCGGAAAGTTCCGCGTTGCCGCACACACCGCCAGCTGCAAGTTCGCCACCACCTCGCACGCCTCCGCCATATTCAGAATCCGGCACATGGTCAGCATGGGGTCTCTCCCCGCGCGAGTGGGGGGAGGTGCAGTCGGGGCTTCGCGAGGAAACGCCGTTAGCCAGCCAGGAGTTTGGCCAACAGGGAAGCGCGACGCAAAGAAGCCCGGGACCTGATGAGGGGTGTGAAACTGAGCCCGCACCTCTCGCGCGGGCTGATATTCGCGCAGCGTCGGCGCGCGCAGAGGAGCCACCTGGCCAGGATCCGCGGCGAAGGGAGGGCCGTTGGTCACTTCAATGTGTACGTGAGTCGGCTCTCCACTCGCCCGCGCCTGACGCACAACCTCCGCAAACGCACTCGTGGCCCGATCGAGGGCAGGATCCTGCCCGCGACCGTTACCGCCACGCCCACCACCATTTCGCCGGCCCCGTCGGCCTCCGGAACCAGCCGAATGCGGACGCGGAGGGGACTGCTCGCGACGAACCGACTCCCAGCGACGCCCAGGTGACCCCCTCCCCCGCGTCACCGGAGATCGCCGCGGAGAGCGTTGCGTGGGGGATCGCGCTCGGGGTGAGCGCTGGCCTGCCCGACCTCGAGGAGATGGGCGGCGAGGAGAACGAGGACGCGTAGGGGACCGCTGATCACCCTCCCTGCGCTGATGAGTTTCACGATGCTCAGGAGAAGGGCGGCGAGGAGAGTGCTGCCGCGGAAGCTAACGCGGAGGCGAGCGCCCGCGCTCCTGCCGCGGCTGGCCGTCCGGGCGGTTCGACGCAACGCGTGCAGGGGCCCACGAATACTCCGGCGAGGTGGGGCGCGCAGCAGGCCGATGGGGAAGAGTTAGCACCCGCTCGAAGCGGCGGACGGGCTCTCTTACGGAGGGGTGCGCAGGGACACGCGGGCGAAGACCGGCAGGCACAGGCTCCGGCAGCGCGCTCTCCGCGGAACCCTCGAGCTCCAGATCCCGTCTCGCGGATGGATCCATCACCCCCGACAGCACCGTAGCCGACGCCAGCGCGCCGACCAATTGAGGACGTGACGGATGAGGCGCCCCAGACAAGGCACGCGGGAGCTGCGGGAGGAAGAGGAACGCGGGGAATACGCGTGGGACGCGGCAGCAACCGCCGCGGACGTCGTGGGAACGGGAGAGGACGAAGAGGTGGAGGAGCACGAGGCACAAATCGGCGCCGCACTGGCGCAAGCGGTTACGCGAGAACTTCAGAAAGGCTAATGCGTGAAGGCGCGGAAGGCGACGACGAGGTGCCCAGCGAGGAGGCAGAGGACGATGTCGAGAACGAAGAAAGCGAGGGGGGTGACCCTGCTTTTAACCCAGAAAGAGAGGGGATGTTAGAAGCAGAGGCCGAGGAGGATGAGGAAGAGTTGGAGCTACTGCTTCGGCAAGCGGGGTTCCCAAACCAGCAGGCCATAGGCGAACCTGCAAACCGAACCTCAGGTCGAAATCGAACCGCGGGGGGAAATCGTGCAAGGGGGGGAAATCGAGCCGCGACAGAAGACAGAATTGACTCTGCAACAGCCAATGAAAATTCTGCAGCCCCAAATCCAACCCCCCCAATGCTCAAACCTGACGACCTGGCGAAAAATTCTGAGCTGTTCGCTCAGGTTGCAGACTGGGACCTTGACCCGTTGCGCGACAGTCGCCAACCTCCTCTCGCTCACCACCCCCCCAAAGACCTTCGCGACTCCTTCGCGATCTGCATGTTGACACCGTTACTCCACCGGGCGGCCAATACTAAGTCTCCACCAGGGTGGAAATTACTGACCTTTCTCCCGCGCATACTCCTTCGCACCTCGTCAGCCCGTAAACCTGACTGGAGCGCGATGATGAATCGGCTCCAGCGATTTTGCCAAGGGCTCCGGGCGGACCTATACGAAGAAGCTGTCCAGGCGATTTCCTTGCCACCGCAACCTCGCCACGCTCCTGACACAACTGGAATACTGGCAAGGGCGGAGGGACTGGCAAAACGGGGTAACTTGTCAAAATCACTTCAATCCCTCCAGGCCACCCCTGTGCCACCCGCCTCACCTGAAGTGTTGGAAGCCCTCACGGCGAGACATCCATCTGCCCGCCAACTACTCCCTGATTAGCTCTCCACTGCCACGACGGAAGACCCAACCTCTATCGTAGCCCGCGACTTCAGGCGCCTCCTCGCCAAGCTCCCCAACGGAGTCGGGGCTGGCCCCTCAGGAACCACCTTCGAGCACATCCGCGACGCAGCCCTAGGGAATGCCAAAGTACTCACCCACTTCTTCGCCCTCTCTAACACGGCTCTAGTAGGAAAACTCCCCACAGTCGCGGGGGAACTACTCACGGCCTCCCGCCTGTTAGCCTTTACAAAACCCCAGGGAGGAACGCGGCCGATCGCGGTGGGGGAGTGTCTCCTCCGGATTATTGCAAAGGCCACTCTTTTTCTGACCGCGCCGGCTGCTCGTACTCACTTTGCTCCCCTTCAGTTCGGAGTAGCAGTAGCAGGGGGGATCGAAGCGGCCATCCACACCGCTCGTACGTACCTGGAAGTGTCAACGGGAGTTGGGTATTGGCCCCGTCCTCGCTTGGGCGGAGCCGACTTCGTGGTCGGGTGCGAGGGGAGCAGCCGACCTACAGCAGTGGATGAGCTGGTCGACGAGGAGGTCGACCTCCACGGGGGACCACTGCACGGGCGCCGACTTTAGGGTGGCGCCGACTTCAGGGAGGTCGACTTGGGAGTCGACCTGCGGAGGACGTCAACTTGGTGACGTCAACTTGGGGTGGCCGATGCGGGTGGTCGGCCGACGACTATGCTGGTCGACGAGGAACAGGTCGACCAGGAGTACTGGTCGACGTAAAGTTGGTCGACCAGAGGGGGCGTCGACCTGGAGGAGGTCGACGTGGAGGTGGTCGTCGACTTGGGAGGTCGACGGGCACGTACGGGAGCTGCTGGTCGACATGGTTGCCCGGTCGACTAGGTTACCTGGGAGTGCGACGGCCTCCCAGGCGAAGTTGGCGAGACCGACCTCGGTGGTGGTATCCCGAGGTCGTCGTGGCGGATCGGAGATGACAGGACTCTACACGCCAATCATCTGCGCACACCTGTGAAGCAGGTGCACTGCTGTCCTGCAACGTTGGCACGCCATCGACCGTGCCTTGCTAGAGTGCGGTCGACCAAGTCGTGCTGGAACGCGGTCGACCAAGCTGCGCTGGCAGTTGGCCGACCTGAATGCTTGCTCTGATGTAGTCTTGCTATGCCAACTTCATTGTACCATTGTTGTTCTGAACTTTTCCTAGTGAAACTCTTGCCAATTTTCCCCGTGAACTAGCAAGTAGTGTGTGCACAAGGAAAACGACTAAGGAACAGAGAACGCAGAGATCACACGAGCACACGTGCCTAGCCCGCAGCCTAGCTCCCGTTGCTGTAGTTATCTTCGCATGGTGCGGTGAGCGTGGACGACACCGCGACGTAGTTCAGTGTAGCCGACTTAGCACATCCCGATCGTGTTCGTAGACCGGCAGCCGTGCAATCACTAGCGTGCGCTTAGTCGACGCCGAGGTGATGGACACCCTGGAGGGACGGCTCGAGGATGCGAGGAGACGCCATGAGGCCCAGGAGTATGGGGCGATACCCTGGGCAGTCGTCGAAGCCGGACTCCGCTCCGTGTGGGCGGCGGAGCACCCCCCTTCTCGACCTGCCTCTCCTCGACCGGTGAACAACGACGGCGGCGTCGACGTGGGAGCCAACGCCGGCGGAGGTCAGGTCGGCAGCAGTGCGGGAGGCACGTCGAGGCACCGAGGTGTGATACACGCCGGTGAAGTCGGCGGCGTTCAGGCGCGAGGGATGCAGTCGTCGGCGGCTGCAGGCTCCTCGCATGTCGACGCGGGTGGGCGTCGAAGTGGGCTGTCGCCGATGTCGGCGACCCAGGTGACGGCGGGCGGGATTGCGCCGAGCTACGGCTACTTCAAGTTTACGCCGGACAGGATCTCGGTCACCCCTCCGCTGGTCGGTCGACCCGACATTCTCACCTGGAAGGAAGCCATCGAGCCCCAGCTGGAGATGGCCGGACTGATCGGCTTCGCCCGAGGGACCGTGGCGACGCCGGGGGAGCACCACCCCGATCTGCGTGCGGAATTTCGTGCCGTGCAGCTGTTGACCTTCACGGTCATCTCGCGGTGCTGCTCGCCGGGCGTGCAGATCGCCTTGAAGTGGTGCCGGGAGTACATCGACGCGGGCCACCGGGCGTGGCACTTCATTGAGTCGACGTACCAGGTCACCAACGACCTGTTCATCGCCCAGCTGGAGGGACAACTGACGCACCTGCGTATGGGTGACGAGGAGAGTGCGACCGACTACTGCAACCGAGCCAGGCGGATTCTCGCCACCATCAGGATGGCCGGCGCGCAGTACTCCACGGCGTCGTACATTACCCATGTCATGCAGGGTCTCTCTAGCAGCTACAACCTACTGAAGCGGCTGTCCATGGCGCCGAGCACAAGGGCGACGCTCAACGAGGACAACCTGACCTCGTATATCCTGCAGGACGAGGCAATGCAGGAGGCTGAGCGGTCGCAGGAGCTCTTGGCGCAGGCAAACTTGGTCACCTCAGCGAAGCAAGGAGGCCGACCGGGACAGCGCGGGCAGTCTGGCGGTGGTAGCAGCAGTGGCTGGAAGCCGGCCAAGGAGGTCGACAAGAAGAAGTTGACCAAGGACAGCGGTCGTGGAGGAGGAGGTCGACGTCGGGAGTGCTGGCTGTGCGGCGACCCCGACCATCTCTCCTTCGAGTGTCCCAACCGCAGCGACTCCGACGACGACGATGCTAAGGGAGGCCGTGGGAGGTCTGGCAGCCGTCGTCCTCGTCGTGGAGGAAACTAGCCGCGCAAGGAGAAGCAGTCGACCAAGACATCGACTTCGGCGAAGGACGCCGACTCCTCTGCTGGCGGCAAGGGGCGAGACGACAAGACGGCGTCATGCTCGCTTGTCGGCGTCGTGGAGCCAACCATCTCTCTGGCACCAGAGGCCGGAGAGGACTACCAGGCGGTGGCGGCAGCTGTGCAGGCGAACCCGGCGGTGGCCCTGCTTGACAGTGGTTGCTCCCACCACCTGATGGGGACGAAGGAGGTCTTCGTCGACCTGCAGCCGAGCGGCGCCATCAGGCATGTGCGCGGCTTCAATGGGGCGCTGCAGGATGTCCAGGGCTGCGGCACCGTCGCCCTGCAAGGAGAGGCCGGGAAGCAGGTGCTCATCCCCGACGTGTTGTACGTCCCGGGTGTGCGAGCCAACCTGCTGTCGGCCGGCCAGCTAAAGGAGCACGGCGTGAAGTTGCAGGAGGACGGAGACGGCATGCTGCTCGTCTCAGCAGCAGGGGAGGTGCTCGGTCGAGCGACGTACTCTGGGCGAGTTCTCTGCACCGACCTGCGTCCCTGCGCGACGAGGTCGACGCTGCCCACGACGGAGGTTGTGGCTCTGCGGGCGATCGTCCCGAAGACGAAGTCGACGCCGGACCGGATGCATGCGAGGCTTGCACATGTCGGCATGGAAACCATACGGAGCTCGGCGAAGAACGAGGTCGCCATTGGGCTGGACCTGAAGTCGGCGACGGACGCCGACTCTCCGTGTGTCTCGTGCGTCGGCGGGAAACTGGCACGACACACCTTCCCCGACCATGGCTCCGACGCCGACGACGTGCTCGCCGTCGTGCACATTGACCTGTGCGGGCCGTTTCGCGTGGCTGCCAAGGACGGCAGCCTGTACTTCTTGCTGCTGAAGGACCGCAAGACCCGCTACGTGTGGGTGAAGCCGGTCGCCAAGAAGTCCGATGCGTTGCAGGCGTTCGTACAGTGGCTGGCGGTGGCTGAGCGGCAGACGAAGAAGTCGGTGTTGATGCTGCGTTCTGACCGGGGAGGGGAGTTCCTCGGGAAGCAGTTCACCGACTTCGTGAACGGCAAGGGGATCGTCCACGACCTGACCTGCCCATACACCCCGCAGCAGAATGGCA